GAAAATCACGGGAATATTCCGATTATTCGTAGCAATTAACAACGTTTTAGTATTTCTAATATAAATCTCTTCAACATTGAATTTTTTCTCCAATAATTTTTAGTCCAATAAATACAAACTTGTCAAAAGAAATAATTAAAAACACAAGGAACTTGACAAATTCTCTTCTATCTACAAAAATTTTTGTCCATGCATATACACGTTAATTTCACTTGAACTTTATACGATATAATCATTCAACAGGCACCTACGTAAATAAATAAATTTGAAACTGTAAGACTTGCAACAACTTTCGCACAAATTTCGTAAAACTTTTCCTTTAACATTTAAACAACACACTGGCTAAGCTACTCTGCTCTACGTTCTACGCTAGGAGGCATCGGGAAGCTTCGAATTAGTCGCCGGGAGTGCACGAAGAAAAAAGGAAATCCGCATGCACACGTGTTTCCACCTTCCGCGGCGTTCTACTATTAAAGCGGCGGCGCGCGAACCCACCCGCGTCGCGATTTCTCTCCCTCTGTCTCACTCTCCTGCTCTCGTCGACGTCGCCACGAGAGAGGGTCTACGAAAATAAGTCGCGTCGCGCCCCGGCAATTACGCGAGGACGACTTCGTTGACTTTTAATTTGCCTGGCCACTCGCTCCAACCCTTTTCTCCTCCTCCTCCTCCTCCTCCTCCTCCTTCAGCTCTCAACCGGCGAAATGCGCAGACGCGCGAACCTTGGCTTTCCGCGAATTCGCGCGCAAATTTACGCGCGAGATGGAAACGGCTGCTCCTTTGAACGGCACGCGCGACCACTTCCTTCCGCGCGCGCCCATCGTAAATCCCTTTCGGGGTGGAAAGCGCGCGCGTTTTCCCGCCGCTGACGTGAGTTTTCTCGAGCGGACTCGAGGATCTCGTTTTCGCCCCGGCCGGCACTTAACGATCCAGCAACCATTAGTCGCGCGAGAACCCGCCGCTGGAATAATACGCTAATTCTAGCGTGCTTCCTCGAAGACGGATAACGTCGCGTTTGTTCGCTCTGATCTGTTTCACGATCTGTTTAGAGAATCGTTGTTCATGAAGTTCTATCGATGGAACGTGTTTTAGAATTTTATTATTTCAATTTCCCGCTTGGTGGACGTTGAAACGTTCTGAATTGGAAATGTTTTATCACGCGCATTTTTTGGAAAGAAATAAGTAGTGTTAAATGCGTTACGTGTGTAATATTTAACATAAAGTATCGTTACGTAACAAGGAAATAAATATTTTAGTCTGTTCGATTCGATGTTCTGAAGAGTTATTCTCTTCTCATTTTAGACATTCACTTCTGTCATACGGCTTTCGATTCACATTGCAATCATCGTAACAATTACTTTATTTGAAAGGAAAAATAGAAATACAGTATCGCGAGTATTATCGTTGAATCGCGGATGTGCAAAATATAATTTAATATGACAATATCAGGTGACAGAATATTGGGAAGTATGATAACGAAAATTGCATGATATTAAGGAACACACGATACATGTATACACAAGATAATTTCCAACAAATTAGTTCGGTTGTATTCATAATAAACCATGACTAAAAGTATCTAAAACGTCAGTTGACCATGCAGTTCAGCGATCGATCGCCCTAGAATTTCCAACAAAGTTCACAGCAACGATATTTCAACCCCACTCCGCTCGAATTTACCTCCTCGAATTCCAAGACTCATTCTCTATCTATCGCAGTTAATGAGACACATCGAGGGAAAATAAAAAGTTTCCGCCAACTGTCGAGGATAGTTTCACCCCGTACGATCCCTCAGGTGCTCAGGAAGCTCCGTCGAAATCGAAATTATCGAATCGGAAAATACACGTTTATCTGTACGATTTTTTCTCGCTCGAGCAACAGGAGTAAGAAAGTTGAAGAATATTCGCACGCTGTTGGCGAAATGATTAAAAAACTTACGACTCCTAATAGGATGGCCGACGCTTAAGGATTTATCGACGGCAGCGAGTGCGTCATATTTTCCACCGGGGGCGGAACTACTCGGCCGAGGGTGGATGCGAAACTAGTTTGGTTACAAATTTTTCGCTGGTGCTTGAGAGTTCCCTCGACGAGCCCGCGCGCCGCCGGTTAACGATCCAGAAACGTCGGTAGCGCGGGCAACTTGCACGGTCGTTTATATGCCTGTACGCCGAGACCAGCTACTTTTTTCCACGGCCCCCGGCGTTCCTTCGCCGGCCTCCATTACCGGAGCGCGTCTTTTCAAGAAAATCGCGGCTCGTTCAGCGAAACGAGCGTGCAAACGGTCTCGCCTCCGTTTTAATTGCGCTCGAATTAGTGGAGCCCAGACTTGCGAACACGCCCGTCTGCGTGAGATCTTGCTACGACTTCACGATGAAACGCGAAGACATTCCATTTCGATTGCACGATAGATTTTCGAACGGAGAGCTGCGAAGAAACGAAGATCGCGAAGCGTATTTTCTTTTTTTTTTTTTTCTCAGAATATTTCTTCGCTTGGCGCAGAGGGCATTCCATAGTTTTAATTTAGTTTCCACGGAAAAGCAAGCTTCTGTGCTCGGTCGTGCTATAAATCAGCACGGCGGACCGACAGACGAACGGTCGAACGCGTTGAAAGGAAGAGTTCGGGTTTATGAACGATGGGCTATTTAAAGAGAAGGAAAAGACGAAGAACATGGAAATCGAGCGTCCAGAGCGAAGTACAAGGGCACTTTATGCGGCGACATCGCGATAAAGGGGCGAGGGCGCTGCTTCAACGGATGAATGATGGCGCGCGTAACAAACCATGCCGCTAAATTCGCGTGATTCCTTCGTTTTAAAAGTCTTTCTGAGACTTGCGGGGGACGTTACGTCGACGTCAATCCTGGGAATAGCGCAAATCATAGCAACTGCAACTACAAACTTCTCTCTTCCAATGGTTTTGCATTCATTTTCTGAAACGTACATAGCGATAAAACCTGAGACACGACGAATCTATAAATTCGACTCACTCCGAGTTCCGTTTGTAACTTTTCCATGGTCTTGAATCCTGAAAGTCTTGAAATTTCAATATCTTACCACCTTTTGATTAACTTTGGCAAGTTTTGTTTTTCATAGTAGTCATCGGAAAATATCAATGATACTCCAGCAAATTTGCTTATTATGATTTACAATTTATTTAGATATCGATATTCGCAGCATGTTATACTTCAAGTTATAGAAATAATCGAATGGATTTATATTAGAAACGTGAAGAGTTTCGGAAATTTCGAGCTTCGAAATCACGTTCGAGATAATTTCGAGACCCGATTCGCAGGAAATTGGGATACAGATTCCGCAGATTGAAACATATTGGTAGAACTTGCCAAAGTCGCGTTATTTTCACCTGGAATTGCCAGACCGGCTTGCCAGAGTTTCGTCCCTTCGACAGAGATTACAAAGTTTCTCCCTAATGACTGTACGGTCGCTTGGAAGGTCGCGGCCCCGCCAGTTGGTAACACGAAAATCGGCCAGACGAGATCGATACCGTACTCGCGACGGTCCCACGGAACGGTACGTTGAGCACGGAGCACGTTCCAATGGATCTCGCGGCCGTGACCAAATGATTAATCGCGCGCGTCACGACGAATTCAAGCAGTCGGCGAACGGAACGAGTGCCACGAGTCCACGACACGGTCCGTTGCACCGACTCGAGTAACTCGAGCTCCGATGCACCCTATGACCTTAATTACTGCGTCGACTAATCGATCCTCTGCATTGTGATCGTGCTATCCCCGACACCGGTACGGCAAACGTAACCGCTTTCATGCTGAATGGTATCTTAATTGCCGGTCGGATAATCCGATTCAGCCACTTAATCGATTATGCGCCTCTATGGAGCTGTCGCAGTCGCATTCACCGAATCTTGATGGAATTTCCCCATTTACCGATTAAGTAGAATACCGTTCCCGAATGGCCGGTGTACGTGTACACGCAAACGCACACACACGTGCACGAAGGCAGATGGGTTACGGGATTCCCGAGAGACGATCGGTCGTCTCGATCGCTGCGCGACGACGACTTCATTAAAATCCCTCGATTCACCTTTTTTTTTTTTCTTTTCCTTTTACCACGATCCATATCCAAAGAATCACCCGTGGAATTCTCCATCCGGCCAGGCTTCGGCAAGAATTATTCGCCGATGGCAGCCGCGATATATACACCGGTGAAGACGAAGGCAAGAAACGCGTCATCGAGCGGAGATTTTTTTCCACCGGGCCGTGTTGAATAACGAGCCACGCACGAAAGAGGGTCCCTAAAACTTGCCAGATAAGCATCGCGGAGTGGGTCGGTAGTCGAAGAAACTGCCGTTAATTAGCGAAAAAGTGAAGGCTCGCCTATGCTCGCCTCGGCAGGATAGGATCCCTCCTTGCTTTTTTCTTCGGTACGCGCCACGACGGCACCACCACGGCGAATAAAGTACAGAGTTCTGCCTTTTCTACCTCCTTCCCTTCCCGCCCCGCATGTTCTCCACCGCTGGCACTCTCGCGTGGCTCACCCTCCTCCAGCGCCATCCGGTACACACGAGTTTCGCCCCCTCGTTGAAGAGAAGAACGACGAGCGCCGAGAGAGAAGGTACCCCACGGTCGTTCTCTTCGTACGGTTCTTTCTCGCTCCTGTTATCTCCCGTTCTCTGCCTCTTCTCCATCCTACGTCCGAACCCCCGATCCTAATCTCGATAATGACGCGTAATGGCTGCTAGCGTGAATGTAGCTCTTTGTCCGTGGCTGCTGTACCGGTCGTATATCTGTCCGGTGCGAGAGCCGCGCCATTTCACCCCGGCCAGCTACGAAACGGCCGTTTCCAGCCTGTTTTTCTACCGTGGTCCTCCGTTCCTTGCTTTCTTTCAACCTCTCCTCTGTTAACGCTCTCGTTAGAACGCGACTCTACGTACGATTTCGTTCTTATTAGCTCTCGTGTTTCAATCGTTTCTCCTCAGGTGATAACGGCGTGTGCCACGTTTCTCATTTGTCTCTCGGTCGTTGTTGCAGATACGGTTATGAGAGTTCGATGACCAGTGGATAGCGGACCACCATGGACTACCTGCAGACGTGCCTCATCTTCTACCTATTGATCCTCTGTTTCTGCGGAGGACGAACCATAGACATATGTGAGTATATAGTCGTACGTGTGTAGGCGGAGATACGATTCGCGTGGTGAAAGATATGGGGGCCTGTCGTCGAAATCGATTAACGACGCAGGCGTCACTCATCTCGCGCCTAGTCGTTTACGGTTCTCGATTAATCGCAATTGACGACGAGACAGCGTTTGGAAAGAAATGAACCAGCGCGACGGAGCTGTCGGCGTTACCGAGAATCTTTCATTGACAATTAACGCGGTCGGATTAACAAGAGATCGTTTCCTATGATAGTCCATTTACAGAAGAAATGTCTTCATTTAACCTCATTTCTTTTTCATTCTCTTCTATCTTTCGTTCTTCCATTATATGTCTGAAGCTGAAGTAAGTTTAATATTAGTTATTAAAAAACAAAAGTTATTGTCAGGATGTATGTAACCTCTTGCACTAGAATGACGTGTCACGCGCGTCAAGAACTTTTTGTTCCAAAATTGTAACATTTCCTCAGTTTTAAGTATATTTAAGTAAAACAAAATCGGCAAAACGAATAATAAATTTACTACTTCTCAGTAATTTCTATTCAGTGATATACCGACGAGTTCAGAAAGAAAGCGACGAATTATTGTATACGGTTTGGTCACTCGTTATGGTCCGCAATCAGTTGTCAGCGCAAGTGGTTAATTATTTTCGTACATTCCTAGTCGTAAAAAATTGTTATTAAATGTACTTGAGTTTTATATATGAATGCTATGCTAAATAGAGTTGCGTAGAGACAACCGTCCAAAATCATTCAACATCCTTGACACATTCAAGAGTGAAGTTTAATTAATTTTCCCAAAACTATCGATTATTATTGACGCACGATTACGCATAATATTATCCAACCATTAATCAAACGATCGTCACACGATTTTCCTTTCCGTTTACGCCACGACGATCACCGACGTGGATGTGAAAGACACGAGCGCGAAGTCTGTCAAAATACGTTCGGCGGTAAACGCGTTAGCCAGCCAATTGATTCGAAACGAGCTTCAGCGAGCAAGAGACGCGTGCTGGATGGTGGAGCGGTTGTCCTGAACGTGGCGTACGTTACTACACTGGTCCCGGTGGCAGAAAATCGATGCCACCTTCCCCGGTTTCTCCGGGGTGGCGCGAGGTAGAAATACGTGTTTACATCGGAGACCATAATTCTCTTTGGCGGTAACAGGCTCTGCCCGTTCGGGACGGCCGATAAAAACAGGCGCGACCTCGAAAACGGATCCTGGCTCGTTCTGCTTCCACCACCGAGGTCTTCCAACCCCGCCTCGCCTTCAAGCGTTTCAACCACCGTTTCTACTCGGCTTGCTTTCCGTCCCATTGACTTCGGATGCGAGGTCGAGCCCGCGGCCGCGTGTCAGGTAAACAGGCCAAAGAGGGAACTCGCAGAGTATCCGGGCAAGCAGTATCCGGCCACCGATGGAGAAAGGCTCTTACTTACTCGTTTGTGAAATCGAGCCCGCGAACAAGCTCTCCCCTCCCGTTCGCGGAATGCGTTTCACACCCTGGAAACTTCGCAGCAATCGTCTGGCGAACGTACCGAGAGCGGGCAAGATGGATGGCCTTGGCGTTTCGGTCTGGTTACGCATCTCCTGGCCTCTCCGCGCGATACACGTAACAGTTTTAGAAAGAAATAAATCGTCCGCCCGGCGGAATGTTTAATGGAGTAGGCGGGCGCGCGTTTTTGCCGAGAGCGAAGGTGCGTGAGGCGTTCTTGCGAGAGCGAACATTGAAATTTATCGCGACGCTCCGGCTCTAACGATGGGAATCGGCCGTGAGCAAACATTCAGAGAGAAAGAGAGAGAGAGACGTTTTGAACGATGTGCCGTAGTTAAGTGGTGCAAAAGACAACGATTTCCAGGGATTCTCGGTCGGTCCATTGGGAAATCGCGCGATAAATAGAAACGGAGGATCCGCAGCTTCGAGGCGATGAAATCAGGAATTACCAGGCAGCGAGAGAGAATTCCATCACGCCCGAGGCCACGAATCTCCGGCTGCAACCCCTCGCGTACATTCTAGGATTCAATCACGCCTTTAAACTTGGCCGCACGTACGCCAAGTACGGGCTTGGCCGTTTCGATCCTCGCGAAACACACGGACGCGCGAAATGAACGCGCCGCTCAATTTCTGGCCAGTCGACCTCTCGTTCCCGCTGGTTTCTCCAAATTTCGTCGTCCGCTTTGCAGAAACGAGGCACGCGGAAAACGACAAGCAACAATATATATCGACGAAAATATAAATAAACGTGCCGCCCTGACGAAAGCTGGTTTTCGGATACAAAAGGGGGGAGAGACCGGTGCAGACGTGGTGCTCGGCCCTCCTGCGGTGAGTGAACTTGCACGTCGAACCGCGTTGGTAAATTCGCGGTCGTGTTAAGCGGGCCAGCCGGCGGCGGATGCGGAGAACGAGGACCGAGAGCAGGCCGAGGGGCTGCGGGCCAGTTAAAGCGCGCATAAATTGCAATGTTAATGTTGCCCGGCGATACATAAACATGTTGTACGTCGGTCGGATTGCGGTCTGCAGCGCGGTGCACGCGTAGCGCCGGCTTACACGCGTGAGCAGGGGAAACCGAGGGCGGGTAGGTACTCGCGTTCGGTTTTGCGTGCTCGATTCACCGGAGACGAGCCACGCGACACGCCTGTATCCGCCTTGCGTCCGCGAGAAAACCAGCGAACCACGTTACGCGCGCCTTGTCATGCGAGATCTTTTCAGTTTCCTTTGCCACTTTTCTCCGTTGTAAATGATTAATTTTGAACGTCGATTTACGAGACGAGAAGATGACGGAAGAATGGTCAAAAAGGTAAGTTAAAATGCTGTGATAAATCCAGTAGTGACTAATGTAAAAACGAGTATAAAATACTTTCCACTTCGATCATATTTCGTTCGTAGCGTTGGCATTTGTGTTATTTATTATACTAAACGAGTCTTGGTCTGATGAACACGAATTTAATCGAAACAAAAGTGTATCTCATACGAATCTTATTGATTTAAATTTATTTAAGCTTATTGATCGAGGAGTTGTTGAATTCTATATAAAGATATCATCATCAAGTGCACATATATTGAACTTTTTGTAGTAATTGTAGATAATACTGATTGTGAACAATCAGAAAGTGATGTAACAGACGAAATGATTTTGACTCCCATTTAGACAAGAAATCACTACTTGTGCCCGCATATATTGTCCCCTTAACCGTATCTATTCAACACGATAGTAGAACTGACAGTATTTGTAAGAAAGAAGTTACAAAACCAAGGGTGAAGAAAACGTAAGAGAACGCCACCATCATTTACCACCGCGCCAACGCCAACTTCGTCTCTATCATTTCTTTTTTTCTATCTTTCTTACGGAAGGAGCCACGCTCCGTTCCATTCACATGAATCATGTGGCTTCGTTCGTGGGAACGAGGCGCGAAGAAAAGCGCTTTATTTCGAGAGCAGTGGTGCTCTCCTGGTGCACCATCTGATACTCGCGTTTCTTATCTGCCTTCCTGCTTCATCGATCCGGTACGAGTGAACGATCGTTTTCAATCGGCTCGAAGCTAATAATCCCTACTTGGTACTAATGTCGAATTCAATTGCCCTCGGATAACAATATCCGAACGTACGTTTGACAATCAAGCATTCACGCTCACGTAGCGATGGGATCAAGCTAAATATGTACTCAAGATATCAAGTCAAATCCAATACAAAAATTTGTTTCGCAATATATGATTGCTGCTCATTAAAAATGATGTTCAGTTGCATGTAAATATGTACTTATTCAGACTTATACACGTTGGAGCATGTGCATATAACCAGGTCCTTTAAAATTTGACTGAACTGTTATAAGCTTCTTAAAATTATGAACTAAAGAGAACTCGGTGTTGTCGAAAACAAATCACACAACTAAAGAGACAGAATGATATAATTTTCGAGTTCAATCTGACAGTTTTTCACTTGCAATCGGCGTGTTGAAATATATGTACCAATACAGGTGCGTGATAATGTAATTAGTTTCACGTAGGTATTCGTTAAACAATCGCTTGCAAACGATTAAGATTTGATCCACGAAAGCTCGATCACCTCGACGCATTTTATTTTAGAAAAAATTCGATCGTACAGTATCAGTTGTATCTGATCCCATCGCTACGTACGTGTTTACGTGTGCACATGTCTCTACACGATCTCGATGCATATTGTCGACGACAGTAGGAACAGCACGCGAGCGTGTCCTGGATGGGGGAGAATCGTTACGCGAGAGCCCTCTTGCGTTATGGCATTGTCATCGGTCCGTTACCTCCCTCGAGTCCCCCTTGTCATGACCCCTCCGCCCTTCCAATTATCCGCAGATCCATTAGGTACGCGCGCATCGCTGATGAAATTGTCGACGTATTAACATAACCGAGCGACAATTAAAGCGTTATGGCGCGGCCGGCATACCGTGCCGATTTCAAGCCCGGGCTCGCGCAGGAATTTCACCGGAGTGCGGCCAGCATCTTAAGAATCCGTGGTATCCCGTGGCGTAATTTTTTAATTGAAATGAGTCAGTGGTGTTGAACGCGGAGCGGATCGCGTCACGTATGATCGCCGGGCGTCCAGAGTTTCCGGCGAATTCAACGCATTCCACGGTAAAAGGGTCGAGCCTCGAGATTCCAGCCACCTTCGATTCCCGCGCGGAGCCCTCCTGGCCAGGCAATTGCGAAACTAACTTCAACGACGTGCTACACGTAGCTGTACGTGTATGTACGTTAACTTTGATCGTGGAATGGAATTTCGTGGGCGTGTGCCGGGCTCGCGCCATACCGTCGACGAGTAAACCTAGCTTTTCTGCTTTTGTGCATCGTTCTTTGCCGTTCTGATATTTTCAGCAAGGACTTTTAGACGAAAAATAACCTACCCTACGGGCACAGCTGTATTTCCCCCTTTTTTCTTCTTGTAAAATACAACGAAATAATTTTATTCCAATTTTTAAGATTTAAATTAAAGGTGGTATGAAATAACGTAGATTCAAGATA